GTTGGCTATTATTATTTTCTCTGGCTTGGCGTTATTTCGCCCATTTGAGAAATATATCATCTATTAAGATGTTACCTTTATTTAATTTATTACATTAACACTACTATTACTTTAAATAAGACTGTTTATTACTATTAGCCATTGTTCTCGTCATATCTTTTTATTTATTTACATAGGAACCGGTGTTGCAGCGGGTTTTGGTTTAGGAGGGAACCAGAGGTATGCAGACAGTTTTGGAGGACACTTAGCACGAGACAACGGTCCGGCAGAGAGTGTTTTCCCCCAGAAGAATATGAATGAAAGACCAACCAATAATCCAGGTAAAAGCGCGTCTGTCTGTGCTGACAACACTCGACATTGATTTGAGCACCTCTATTAGCATTTGTTTGCTCGGCAACATTAGCTGAAGCGATCTTAAAATGGTAATGTTAACTGTTAGCTAAACTGAGCTAAGTTTATACTGAATTGGACTCAAACTCATTTTAACGTGCAACGTTTAACTTATATTGATTTATACTATATATATTAGATGTTGTGAACTTATTTTTCTCTGGTTTAGAGTAACTTATAACGTTAGCTTGAGAAAATAACATCGCGACGTAACCCATAAGAACGTTAACGTAAATCTATAACGTTACAATATGCATAGAGGTAAAGTTGGTTTTATATTCGCACATTCGTTCATTTAGAAGACTCTAACGTTATACTGTTTACCATGTTACTTTGAATATTCGATCAGAATTAGCATGCCAGCATGACTTGAAATCAACATTAACACTGTTTATTTGACCGTGAGCATGTTGTACTTTGATAGTCATTAGCTGCTAAAATGATTTCGCTATTTAGAGTTTGCAAATAATACTTTTATGAAATTAAATTATTAAGGGGGAAGTCTGAATCTGCTAATATAAAACCAATTTTACCTCTATGCATTATGCTAATAACCACCTTTTTGCTATTTATTGTTTGCTAATTATTTTTTTATCACAACTCTTGACATTTGGTTTAACATAATTGTTACCATTATATTTTTTCTGTTTAGATATGGCACTGGCACAGCAGCAGGTTTTGTCTGAAGAAACAAACAGCATTTCGGAGGAACATCTTGATCAGCACAGCCTTATGCTTAAAAAATAAGCAAGACCAGTAAGCAACCAAGGTAAACAAATAAAAAAAAGTTGTGTGGAGGTTGTGGATTGTAGCATAGTATTCTTAACTGTATATTTGGCTTTTTTATGGTCTTAATATAGAATACTGGGAGCCTGCCTGTGCAAACTGGACCTCATACAACAGTAAGTACTGTACATCTATTTGTTTCTCAATATATTAACGTTACTTTTAATACAAAATGTGTCACATGTTTAGTTGCTAGCTAAATAAAAAAATCGTTTTCCCTTTTTTATTAAACCATTTAGTAGGTTTTTTTTCATCTTTGTTTATAATATTTTTGAGCAGATTGAGGTCTGTCATGGGTCAGACATTTCAAAATACAATAATTAGTATTGGGATACATGCATTTGTCTATGTATTAAATGTCTTTTTCCCCATTTCATGTTGCCTAAATATTTTGTAATAAATAAAATAATACAATTTTTTGTATAAATAATTCCAGAGGATGAAACAAAATGCACAGCAACAACCAGAGTGAGCCAGAAGATAGCAGGAGAAGTAGTGAAGAGAATGACAACCATGAACAACAGTGAGTTATCCTTCTTTCACCAGCTAACTGAGAACTTGGATTAGGTGAGACACTCTCAATAGTTTTATCAGTATTCAGTCAGTTTTAGTTTATTAGGAATACATAAAACAAATAGTCTAATCTGTCCTGCAGTGAATCAACCCATCACAAATGCTACAATGTTTTTGTAAAACCTTGTTAGGGAAAAAAATAAACAGGACATTCTGGTTAGTTATCTTTTAAACATGGTAGTGAGCAGGTTATGAGCAGGAGCCAGTTGCTCAGTACCAGCTGAAAACTACCCCAACCTAGCTGCCATGCTTCAAAATAATTAACCAGTATATGATTTATTTTTTTTTAAACAAGCTTCTTCTATGCTTATGTTAGTCTGTTTGTCCTTATCCAGAGTTCTTCATAATCCTGGACTGGGCCAAATCCTGACCAGATGCTGTGGTGGTCATGGAGGAGTGAATCCTAAAAGACACACGTGATCAATGAGATTCCGCATTGATCCAATGGGCCAGCCTGACCACCCGCTGGTGAACTTTCAAGCCTCTGGTGCCTAGACTGCGGCCTTGCACAAGTTTGGCTAGAGGAGAACTGGTCGTGCCCAACTGAGCCTGGTATCTCTCAAGGGATTTTATTCTACACTTTCGTCAGTTGGTGAAGTTTGTTCCATGCCACTGTCGCCACTGGATCACTTGGCTACGATTGGTGGATTCACTGCAGGACAGATTAGACTATTTGTTTTATGTATTCCTAATAAACTAAAACTGACTGAATACTGATAAAACTATTGAGAGTGTCTCACCTAATCCAAGTTCTCAGTTCAGTGTTTGGACTTTCAGCAGTGTCATTTACTGCTTCAATTCTGAAAACTGGACTGAAGCAGCTTCAATTTACAAGAACTTCTATGTTAAGCTGCTTTGACATCATTGATCTACATTGTAAAAGTGCAATAGAAATAAAGATGAATTGCATTTGAACATGTGAATTCAGACCTTGTTGAGCATTTGACACCAGAACTAGTAATATTTTAAAGTTGGGTTGTTTCTGAGTCGGCTAATAGTTACAAATATTTATTTTTCCAACAATATGCAATTCAGAAGTTTAAATTTTTATTGTACATGTATGTTCTAGTGCTTTGTGTGATTTATTTATTTTTAATGTGTTGATTTTATTGCTTAATGTAATTTTCACACATTTTCCTTAAATGCTTTAAGCATTATTAATGTTTTAAAGAATGGAATATTTTGTAATTGTGTCTGGTTTAATGTCAGTAGTACTTAGTACAATTGTTTTTTTTTTTCTCAACAATATGCAGGTCAGACACTTAAATTAGTTTTGTACATGTATGTTAATGCGCTTTGTCATTTTCAATGTTTTTTTTTCTTAAAATAAAATATTTTGAATGATTGAAATGTAATGTTTTTACACATTTTTAAGCTTGTTTTAAGCATCTCCAATTTTTTAAATAAAGAGTGTTTATTTTGTTAATATTTTGTAATTGTGTCTTTTTTAGGTCTATAGTATTAAAATAATATTAATAAAATTATATTATAAAATATTTAGGACAAAATTAAAAGGTTTACAGTAGCTAACTGTTAACTTAGGTTTTTACAGTAGTTAACCATTTTCAGACACTACGGTAACATGCTGTAAACGGATTTACAGTTGTATACTGTAAATCTAAAATACAGTAACTTACTGGCAACAGTGTTGCCAGTAAGTTACTGTAAAAACCCTTTGAAATGTCTAACAGTGTGAGGTATAGGTGAATTGAATAAGGTAAATTGGCTGTAATGTATGTGTGTGAATGAGAGTGTGTATGGATATTTCCCAGTATTGGGTTGCAGCTGGAAGGCCATTCGCTATGTCAAACATATGCTGGATAAGTTGGTGGTTCATTCTGTTGATACTCCTGAGGCACTAAGCCGAAGGAAAATGAATGAATAAGTGAAACACAATATTATTAAGCATTAAACTTGACATTAAGAACTTGCTCATGCATGAAATAGCACCGACAAATTATATGATTATGAATGTGTCAGGCAAAATGGTATGGAGCTTTGATGAATAATTGTAATATATTAATGAAATAAAAGGTTAACATTTACAGAAATTACAACTTTTGAACTTGACAAAAATAAAACACATCTTTTTGGTAAATAAACAGAAACAAATATATCGCAAAGTATGTCTTTGATAGTGGCAACGTGGTGGCGCCGTGGGTTGCACGTTTGCCTCACAGCAAGAAGGTTGCTGGTTTGAGCCTCAGCTGGGTCAGTTGGCATTTCTGTGTGAAGTTTGCATGTTCTCCCGGTCTTTGTGTGGGTTTTTTCCGGGTGCTCTGGTTATTTCCACACAAGTCCAAAGATGTGGTACAGGTGAAATGGGTATGCAAAAACTGACCGTAGTGTATGTGTGTGAATGAGCGTGCGTGTTTCCCAGTGATAGGTTGTGGCTGAAAGGGTGTACACTGCGTGAAACATGTGCTGGATAAATTGCCGGTTTATTCCACTGTGGCAACCCCAGATTAATAAAGAGTCTAAGCTGAAAAGAAAATGAATGAATGAATCTTTGATAGCCAAGCAGGCCTCAGGAAAGTCATATGAAAACATTTTAAACAAAATAGTCAAACACAAATTATAATATCATTAACATATCAATACAATAGTCAAAAAGTCTTTTCTTAGCTATTAAATATTTGTCAAATATATAAATAAACTAAATTAAACACAACAAATATACAGAAAGCCAAAAAGGCTTACGAGAAATGATGTTGAAAACAGCAAACACAGTGTTTCTGAAGGACAAGCTTTAAATTTAAACACTGTTTAGGAACAATGATAACTGACACTAAGCCTATGAAGAGCCTTAAAATGAATCAGGGAATGAAAAAAAGGTTTTGTTTTAATATGTTTCCAAAAAAAAAAAAAAACATTAAATTGAATAATAAATTAAATGCTATCAGAACACTGAAACATTACAAAAACATGGGAGACTATAAATGAACATCTCTATTGTCATTTTCCCTTTGATCTCTTTTTTTCAGTTTATGAGAAAGCAACACAAGTTTGTCTACACTTTTTGTGAAGAAGTGAACTCCGTATGTCCATGTCTTATTCACAATGAACAACAGTAACTAATTTAACCTGTTCACCAGAAGGAAAACCCCCAACAATAAAAAATGCATGGTGTCATGACCCATGGCTTTGCAATCAAAAAATGTCATTATAATGGATGTCAATGAGGCAAAACAGCCATGAACATTACAAAAGGGTAGTACATTTGAATAATATACAAAAGTAAAATGACTCACATTATGTTGTTTTTTGTAAAATAGACAATCAGACCACAAAATCCTGAAACTGCCACTGAAACACCAATGGCAATGCCAACTACCGCTCCGGTTGACAGCCCTCCACCTCCAACTATGGATACAAAAAAACAACAGACCAAGGTCACACAATACTGAATGTAATGCACTTTGTTCTTTATTAAAGAAATATAAAAGTTAAAACAGCTCAAGGTTATTAAAGAGAATTATTTTTTATTATTTGTAAGTAGTTTCTGTCTACCTTGAATGCGTAAAACATGTCCTATTGATTCACTTCTGTTTGTGACTCTATTATAGGCTGTACAGATGTATTCTCCACTGTCTGTGAAGTCAGTCTTATCAATGGTGTATTTGTCTGTGGTCACACCAGTGTCTGACCCATTAAGCGTCCAGCTGAATGAAGCAGAAGGTTCAGAATTTGCAAAGCAAGACAAAAACACTTGAACCCCTAAATCCATCTCATCTGGACCCTTAATAGAAACACCTTCTGGCCCATCTAGAACACAGACAAGAGACTCACTGTAAGAGGAACAAACTGAGAGCTGAAGAATGTCTAGATTTTATCAGATCTGATGTTGAGATGTTTCACACTCACAGTTGATGATCAGGGTGAGTTTTGCCGTTTCAGAGCTAACAGGGTTACTGTATGTACACTGATATTCTCCAGTATCTGATCTCTCCACTGGACTAATGGACACTGATCTGTTATCAGATGAGAAGATGATTCTGCTGCTAGAAGACAGAGGACTGTTATCTTTCATCCACTGCACAGAGGTGATGGTGCCGCTTCCCTCAGAGGTGATGTTGGCAAATGATTCATCCTCGATTAAGGTTTCTTCTGGACCAGTAAGCCTCACATTTGTTATGTTTTCTATGAGAGGGAGGGGAATCCACAAAAAATAAACAAAAAAATATATATATTTTCACAAAAAAATTATACACAAAAAAGAAAGAGATTGTAAAAATAATAGCAAGACTTTGTTAACTGCTTAAGGCACCGCAGTAGCACTCTTGCGTTAAAACTCCTGCCCTAACTTCCACTCCATTTGGACCATAATATTGAAAGTTAAGTATAACATTTAACAAACACACAATTATTTCAGGCGATAGAGTGGCTTAATGATTAGCACTGCTGTCTAACAGCAAGAAGGTCGCTGGTTCAAGTCCCGGCTGGGCCAGTTGGCATTTCTGTGTGGAGTTTGCATGTGTGAAATTGTCAGTGCTACTTCCCCAATGGTGACAGCTAATGTGACTTTATGACAGTCAAACACACCCAAATACTTTTAATTTATGGGGAATATTCATTCATTCATTTTCTTGTCGGCTTAGTCCCTTTATTAATCCGGGGTCACCACAGCGGAATGAACCGCCAACTTATCCAGCAAATTTTTATGCAGCGGATGCCCTTCCAGCCGCAACCCATCTCTGGGAAACATCCACACACATATTCACACACACGCTCATACACTACGGACAATTTAGCCTACCCAATTCATCTGTACCGCATGTCTTTGGACTGTGGGGGAAACCAGAGAACCCGGAGGAAACCCATGCTCCACACAGAAACGCCAACTGAGCCGAGGATCGAACCAGCGACCTTCTTGCTGTGAGGCGAACGTGCTACCCACTGCGTCACTGCGTCGCCTTATGGGGAATATAATTTAATAAATATAATTCAATAATTCATACTATTTAGTATGAATTATTGACAAACTATTTAGCACATCCTCATATGTTTAATTTGAACAAGAAAAGACATGTGCATCCTAAAACATTAATTAAATGTTATAGAAACTAAAAAATTTAACTTTCTCAAACATCAACATGTTGCTACAACACCAATTTTACAACACCAAGACTGATTGTATTTATTGAAAAGTAATGCTTCATTAAATGATCTGCCAAAGAATGACTTTTTTTAGAATTAAAAGGTTCTCTCTGTATTTTAACCCCAGTTTTTAACCCCAATTTGCAAATTTAAGAGAATTTTGATCATTTACATTTAGAGCACATTTAGGGTCTCTGTCATGTTAATGTATTAAAGAGAACTGTTACACACACATTATTTGCTATATTGAATGCAAATCTCTGAAGCTTAATATCTCAAAATAATTCAGAACACAGATAGAACCTTATAATTCTAAGGTCACAATATGTAATTACAAACTTTTATCTTGTGTGCAATTATTGTGTTATTACACTGTAATTGCATTGTAGTTACATCCAAGATAATATTTATGAATGTAAATGTTTCTTTTTTACACTCTCAGAAATAAATATATGCGAGCTGTCACTGGGGTGGTACCTTTACAAAAGGTATAAATTTGTACCTAAAAGGTCCATATTAGTACCAAAAAAGTACAGGTACTAATAGGTACCAATATGGACCTTACAAGTACAAATGTGTACCTTTTAAAAAAGGGACCACCCCAGTGACAGCTCACATACCTTTATTTCTGAGAGTGTACTTGGTTATTTTTAGTTGAATACGCAAATATACACAATACTCATGTAGTTAGAAGTTTAGTCACTATGTCATTACATTGTAGTTACATTGTTATTGCATTGTAGTTACATCCAAGATAATATTTATAATCCTAAATGTTTATTTGTATATATCATGTACGGTTATTGTGTAATTATACATAAATATACGCAGAACAAATGTAATAAAACTGTTATTTTTGATGTAATTATTATGTCATTGCATTATAACTACTATGTAATTACATTAATATAACATTGTAATTACATTGATATAATATTGAAATGTTATCTATGATAGTATTGTTAATGTCATTTTCTATATTTCATGTACAGTAAAATATGTTTTAAATTGTGCATTGAAGAGTACAATTGTAAAAAAAAAAAAAAAAAAAAAAAAATATATATATATATATATATATATATATATATATATATATATATATATATAGAAATGACTAAAACAGGAGATTTTAGTGGTTTTCAGAAATCATGATTTTTGACATTTTTGAATATAAAACTTTTAAGAGATGGTGGCAATTTTCACAATCGAGATATATTATGATAGTCCAACACATTATCTGGATTGAATGATTTTTACAGTGATTAAAGGAATCATCTTCAAGACGTTACTTTCTGTATGAAATTTGTTCAAAATCTATGCTAAAATCAAAGAGAAACACAAGTTAAATAGTTTTTATATTTAGAAGAAGGGAATAAGTTGACAGAGAAGCTGAAATAAAGTTGCCCGGAGAAAAGCTGCTGCTGTCAAACATTGTTTACTTCACTAAGCTAGTTTAATGGTGAAGGAATTGATCCTATATGGCTATTGATGGAAGGTTTGCGAAGAAATGTCATGCTGTATTAATATCATCTACAGATCTGTGATTTTAATTTGCAGCATATATAATTGACAAAAATCACTTTTTGCATTTATAATAAGTTAAATCATTAGGCTGATACCCAATCGTAGTATCATGTGCACTTTCACATATTACCCCTATCAGGCCTTTATAACCTCATATGCTCAATAAATCATTTATAGCAACACACTCACCAAACAGCTGTAGTGTAGTTTCTCCTCTGAGTTGATCTCCACTAACAGGAGTCACAGTCAGTATGTATGATCCAGAATCCTCCATTTTTAGATTCCTGAGCTCCAGAGAGAGAGTGTTTTGGTCAAAACTGACCCTGTCTACGTATGCTGGGACTATTGTGGGTGATTCTGGTTTTCCTGTCAGTATATTAGTTGCTCCAAAATTCCATGTAATTTGTACATCAATCCCTATGGATCCTAAGTTTTCAGGGGTGAACATCACACTTCCTCCTATTGCCCCATAAGTCTGCCCAGGAAACTGTAGATCTTGGCCTAAATACTCTCCTATGGAAGGAAAAAGATTTACATAATTAACAGCAAAAAGTGTACTTATTCTGAACAGAAACATAACACCACATTATTTAAATGCTAAATAGACTCACCAAAACATGTCACCATCCACAGAATCCAGTATAAACTATTAGAAGCCATCATGGTCGAGCTCTCATCTGTCAAAAGTTTCATCTCAAATCATCTGAATTATTACTCCAGTTTGAGTTAATAATAAACAGAAAAACGACAGATATATCACTGCGCCACCTTGAGCTGCATGTTTAGACTACTAAAACTAAAACACTACACTGTGATACATCTCTTAACCTGCATATATGTAGTTCAAAATAAATAAATAAATAATATTAGAACTTTAGATGTTTAAAGTACTTTAAAAAATGAGGGTATTTTTTACAGAGCTACATTTTTGCAGACTATTCATAGCTAAATAAAACACTGAATAACAAAACAATCATTTTGAAAACTCATTTTTTAATTTAATTATTTAAGCATGTACATACCAAGTTGATGTTAAAAACAATATTAATATTTCAACAACAGCAGTAGTACAATTTGAAGATCTGAAAAGCACTTTTCCAGCAGTTAAGACAAAATTTTAAACAGATCCAAAATTCATAATTTCAGATACAAAGAAAAAAAAAGCATTATGTAGCAAAAAGCAAGTCCGTTCATTTAACTAACTGCCTTTACCAAAGGAAAAGTAAACACAAGAGTCAATAGATTTAAGCTTTGGTATATATATATAAAGTGTTACATTCTTCTTATGTTCATAGCTTTTGCACTTCAGGAAATCAGCTTAATGGTTGAAATAAAATTTGGAAATACCTAGGCATAGTCAAATATTGAGAGATCGATAAATGAAAATGGCCATACCGTAACACCATTGTTTCCTTGTTCTCGTTTAAAGTCCACAAGTATAAAACTCCTGTGGACAAAAGTCCAATGTCATTATGTTCATATTTGAGAGCATTCAGCTTGTACTTCTTGAATGCTGGAGATTTAAGCCTCTTTAAGGTGAACGTGAGATGCAAAAAAGTTAATGGTTTTTATTCCCACTGCCGTATTGCACCGTGTAATACCACATTGCTTTGCGTGATAGTTTTTTGTAAACAATTACAGCATTTTGGTGTTATTTATTTTTTATTTAAAATTTTATTTAAATTACATTTTTTATGTACTCATGATGGCTTTATTTCTACTACCCATTCAATGTTTTTGAAGGATTATGTTTCCTTGCAAACTGAAAGTTATATTTATGCATTAGACAAACAGTGTTAAAACAAATTCTTTTGAAAATAATTGCTGAAAAATACAATAGTCTCTGAATGCAGCCTTAATCATGCAAGCTGATATTGCATCACTCAGATTGCACTGCACCAGGTCTGCATCCAGACCTCTCTCAAAAAATAAGTGAAACCCTTCACGTGTTACTGGTTATCAAAATTCAAATCACCGGTCTTCTACATTTAATACACCTGATTCAGATCATCCGCTCAATAGCAGAGAACTATCACTTTCATTGTTTTCTTCATTTTACTGTTAAAGCAAATCTTTCTTTATACGTTGAGCAAGAAGGTAAAAGTAAACCGTATAAAATGTTTAAGATGGATGTTTAAGTTCATGAACCAAGAGTACTGTGTATACTTTGAAACTGCAAATCTGTAATTAAAACATCCACATCATTGTTTCTTACATTTGTGTAAGATTACTTACCCAGACTGACATTTCAATAAGCATGTATTTGACAGAAACTTCTGACTTTCATTTTCAAATATGTTTTTATTTTTTATTGTCAAGATCTAAAGATTTTCAAGACAACAAATGTCACTTGAATTATATTCAAGTTCACATTTGGTGGAATTTAATGCTGAAAAATAGAAATACTTCAGTATAGAAGTTTATACTTTGGTTCAGCTGGAAAAAAATAGAAAACGTTACAAAAATAGAAATTTCAGGTGACGGCTAGCATATAAACTCCATAAACATGGTTAATATAGTGTTACTACAGTGTAGACCTGATAGTCCAGCTTGCACTTATTAGTGCTGTCAATTTGACACCCTGCAGCCCCACAATAGTGTCATGGATTGAATCACAAAAACAGAAGATCAGTAAATTATTTTGAAATAAAAAAGACAAACAACAATCCACAAACACAAGGGGACAAGCAGGGCTGAAATCAATTCCAATGGAGGATGATCACAGAAATAACAGTCCAAACACAAAATGAACAGGAATCCAAAAAGGTCAATAAAATCACAAAACAGACGAGAATCGTAAAGATCAAAACAAACAAAACAAAATTCAAAGCAACTACACACAGCACAAAATGACTTTAAAAAAAAATAGCAAAAAAGAAACAGCTTAAATAAATGATGTGATCAGAAGTGCAAAGAGTTGCAGTGGCCGAAGTTCAGAGAACCAAACAATATTTGGCACCCTCAAGAATCTGTGCATCAGGTTATGACAAATAGATCTTAAGGATGTAAACTTTAATATACCCACTGTTCTTCATTACAGTAAGTTCTTTACTGTACGTTTATTTTTCTGAAGTATAGCAGTTTTGGATCCATACATATTGAGTGAATCACATCAAGTAAAATAGCAAATTAGCAGCTGAATATCTTATTGAAAGGACAGTTCCTTTTACTTTTTTTATTGCGTTGTGTTCATACAAAAGAGACAAATTTTTTCCCCAATGAAATAAATCTCTTTTTTTTCCCCAAATTCCATTTAATTTGATCTTAACACATTTTGCAGCTGAAAATCTTTAGAAAATCATTGACGACAAAGTTATGAGTAAGAAACCAGCAGTGAACTGCATGTGGAAGAGACTGAGGAAGTGTGAACAAGATCACAGCAGAGCAGTGCGAGAGACTAGTGATGTCCTGTGGCCACAGATGTGCTGAAGTCATCCAAAGCAACGGTTTCTACACACAAAGAGAGAGAAAGAGAGAGAGAGAGAGAATTAAATTTAATTAAGATTAAAGCATTTGTAAACATTTCCTCAGTTTTCCAAAACCCAATTCACCTATATCACATGTTTTTAGATATGTGGGGGAAACCGGAGCACCCGGAATAAACCCACGCCAACACAGGGAGAAAATGCAAACTCCACACAGAAATGCCAACTGACCCAGCTGGAACTCGAACCAGCAACCTTTTTGCTGTGAGGCGATTGTGCTTCCCACTGCGCCACCGTGCTGCCCAGCTATTTCTTATTAAATGATATTTTGCATTGTTTAAACAATTTGAACCCTTTTTTTAGGATGAAATAGTTTAAAGGATTAGTAGCAGAAGTCCACAGTTTACCAGGTAATTGAAACCACATAAAGGCAAAAAAAAACTTTATTATTTCTTATTTTTTAATAAAAATCCTTAATTAAATACTACACATGCTTAAACAAGTAACACAACACCACCGATCTAGTAATTACTTTTAACTATAAAGAAACACTGATGAATGAATTACTAAGTAACAGTACCTCTATATATATTTCTGGAGAACGGCAAATATGTCCCATTCGCCTATTCTTATAGCATAAATCCACCAAAGGCTGTTGTTGACTGAATGATTGACTGACCGATCCACTGACCCAGGTTTTTCCTTCCCTAAACCCAACCAATATTGTTTTCAACCTATTATTTTCAACCAAGCTATTTACTGAATGTGTTTGTAAGCTAATTATTGATTAATTTGTGCGTACAGTAAAAATTATTTTTTTGTATTTAGTATATTAAACAGCATTGCTAATATTATATGCCTGTATTTGGTGTGCATCCACTTTTCGCATACATGCTATCCACTTCTACTTATATCACTATTGTCAAACAATGCTTGTCATATGATTGCAAACAAGAATTCAGAGTAATCAAATTCAAATATACGTCAATAGATGTGAAGTAGACTGGTTTTGGGTCTGTTAGGTCTAGGTCTGTTAGGTTACTAATTAATAATGTAAACATTAGTGCGTATTTGTTGAAAGTAGCAGTTAAAATGGTAATGTTGAACAAGATATTAGTCCTAGAGAACTTTAGTTACACATTAAATATAATTTTTTTCTGATTAGATTTTTAGAAAAATGAATAAAAGTAATTATTGTATAGTTCAATGTTTCCCAACCACGTTCCTGGAGGATCACCAACACTGCATGTTTTGGATGTCTCCTTTGTCTATCACTCCCATTACAGCTCTTTCAGTCTCTGCTAATGAGCTGATAATCTGAATCAGGTGTGTTTGCTCAAGGAGACATGGAAAATGTGCAGAGCTGGTGGTCCACCAGAAACATGGTTGAGAAACACTGGACTAGTTAGTATTGAACTACCAGTTTCCATCTGTGTGTTATTACTTATAAATTAGAGTTTCTTATTATAGTTGATATTGCGCTGCTCGCTTGTTGCAGTGTTGTTATTAATTAATGATTGATCGGCATTCCAAAATTTCACCCAAAACTCCAGTGGCACACATGAGTGCCTGAAAGCTAAATAAACATCAATGTACGTCTGCTTCATGAAAAACAACCAGGCATCTCACCATCAATAACAATATATATTGGGAACAGCTAAGTTATTATTATAACAACAACAACTTCACATCTGTACTGTACCTCCACTACTCAGTTATTTTTTATCATTTATATGTAATTGTTTCACACATTAATAATTACAGGTTTATAAGAGGTTTAAGGTGTATATATAGCCTAATATGATCAATAAATCATTCATTGCAACACACTCACCAAACACCTGTAGTGTAGTTTCTCCTCTAACTTGATCTCCACTACTAGGGACCACAGTCAGACTGTATGATCCAGAATCCTCTAGTTTTAGGTTCCGCAGCTCCAGAGCGAGAGTGTTTTTGTCAAAACTGACTCTGTCTCTATATGCTGAGGCTACAACTGGGGAATGAGGATTTCCAGTCAATATAATAGTTGTTCCAAATTGCCAGTTGATTATATCAATCGCAGTTGATGGTGGATTATTAGGGGTTAACTTTACGCTTTCTCCTACTGCTCCATTAATCAGCTCAGGCAACTGATGATCTTTACCTACATTTTGTCATTTGAAAAATGAAAGAAAAGGAAAAAATCAACTGCATGTGGGAACATACTTCTTTGCTACAATTTAAATTATATCTGTACTCTAGGTCAATTGTATATTATTTTTTTCAGTTGTAACTTCAACAAAGTTTTTTTCAGTGCTTACAAAAAACTGTTTATTTCGAACACTCTAGACATTTAAAGGCCAAAACAGAAAACACTATTGTAGAGAAGACTAATACTTTGAGTTGGCTTGACCTGCATTATTTACCTTGAACTAGTAACATATGTTTTTGTGATTCTCTTCTGTTTGTGATTCTGTTAAAAGCTGTACAGATGTATTTCCCACTGTCTGTGAAGTCAGTCTTATCAATGGTCAATGTGTCTCTAGTCACACCAGTGTCTAACCCATTAAACGTCCAGCTGAATGAAGCAGAAGGTTCAGACTTTGCAGAACAAGACAGAGACACCTGAACCCCTAAATCCACCACATCTGGACCCCTAATAGAAACACCATCTGGTCCATCTATAAAACAGACAAGAGACTCTCTGTTAGAGGAATTTCATCATCATAGATTTCATTAGATCTATATGTTTCACACTCACAGTTGATAATCAGGGTGAGTTTTGCCGTCTCAGAGCTGACAGGGTTACTGTATGTACACTGATATTCTCCAGTGTCTGATCTCTCCACTGGACTGATGGACACTGATCTGTTATCAGATGAGAAGATGATTCTGCTGCTAGAAGACAGAGGACTGTTATCCTTCATCCACTGCACAGAGGTGATGGTGCCGCTTCCTTTAGAGGTGATGTTAGCAGATGATTCTCTCTCAATTAATGCTTCTTCTGGACCAATAAGTATGACATCATGTATGTAATCTTGAATGAATAGGAGAAAGAACAAAATGTTTCATGTTTAGTAAGCACTAAATAAAATTAGAACCCATTTCATGTGTGAGAAATCAGATATGAAACTCTTGCATGTCAAATATGTAAGTAGTTATTTCCTAGTAAATAATATATTACATTATTTTAAATATTTTAGCAGATAGCAGTACCTCTCCTACACCTCCACTGCTTACAGACAGTGATCACTCTTTAGCAGAAGTAACCAACCCAGGTTCATTCTGAAGACATACGGCTATATACATTTCTGGAGAGCACCAAATACGTCCCCTAGAAGTAAGTTTTTTTGCAGTTTTTGTTTTTGCGAATCCACCAGAGACCGCTGTGTATGCTTTTTCAGGTCTCAAATTTGCCATTCACAAGTGTTATTCACGCCTGCTGTTCTTGCATAAATCCACCAGAGGTCGCTGTCAACTGACTGACTGAATGACTGATCAATCGACTGACCCACCCTTAACCGTCCTTAAACCCAACCAATAGTGTTTTCAAAAGCAGAGATTGACCATATCCCTAAACCCTAATTTTAAAAAGTGATGCAGGAAAGGCCCTCGCCTGATTTTTACCGCATTTTCAGATTTACCACATTCTCATCCTGTTATTTACTTGTTTATTTTATTTCTTGGTTTCTGTTTTTATCTTACCCACTTTCTTGAACTACTCTTCACCAGACTCAAACCCTGTCATCATGGTCAACTCCTCTCTGCATCCCAAGTCTGCTAACGTACATGGTGAGCTACTGGACAAACTGGTAACGACGGGAAAGTCGTCCAAACAGAGGTAAGGAGTCAGCTGGTAAGCTTGAAAAGGAACAGAACATTCGTTGTAAAGACAAGGTGCAGCCATACATACTTCTGGCTTCATAATTTGCGATCTCTAAAAATGTATATAGGGCTATGTTTTCAAAATGTGCCTATTATGGAAGTAACTGTCCAGTGCCTTTCTCTGTTTTCAGGCTGCAGTAACCCTCCAGCACCTTCGCTGATTACAGTCTGCAGTGATTTTCCAGTTGTTATTTTCGAGCTTTGTTGCTGGTTTCAGCTAGCTGTAACCGGTACTTTTGCTAATCCCAGCTCTAACTCTCCTGAGGCTCTGCTGGTTCCAGCTAGTTGTGACATTCCTCGTCCCCACAAATTCTGTCGCCCTCAAAAGTGGAAGCCGAGTAAGATTAAAGCTTCTACTGCCTTCACCGATTTAGCCCCTGAAACAGTCGGTGAAGGAGAGGAGGAGAAGATGATAGTTGAGCTTCATATTTCCAAGTCTCCAAGGGTAACACTTTCCACTCTCTCATCTAACTCTTTCCTCCAGCTGCTAACCACACCATTCCATGGAGCACCTTCACCTTCTTGGCAAGAAGAAGCACATTGCCAGCCTTGATACTTTTATTAGCCTATTTTCTACCCTCAGGGGAGATTGAGTTCATCGTTCCATCCGTGTCTGTGTTTTCCCTTTTTCTCGCCATACTTTTTGTCTGCGCCTCCCATTGTTTGAGCCATTCATCATCACATTCAGTCTCCAAGCTGTGGACTACCTTGGCCCTCTGACCCTGCAGTTCCGTCTTGTGTCACACCTCAGGCATCTTCTCCGTGGCCCTTTATTCCAACCAGCTCTGGCTCCATCTTGGGCTGTCTTTTTCCTCTGCTTGTTTGGATGTTGCTTTATGATGCGAGAATGGCCTATTCTGGAAGGTGGTGTAATGTCAGGATTGTTTTTGGACTCTTTGTCCTTTATATTGTTTCATGTGATTTCCTTATTGTGGCCATTTTCTTGATTTCCCCCACACTTGTCAGAAATTCCCCAGAATTCACTTGTGTATATCATCTTGTGTTTATTTAGTTTATAGTCTGGTAAAATTTCTTCATATAAATAAGTCTTCATGTGCCTTGCTCATGTCCCATTTCCTTAAATGTATGTAATATATTAATTATCTCTTATGTAACGAGTATGGCCAATCTGACATATTTATTTTCCTTTTATTCAACAAATAACACAGCCTCAACTTCTACCCAGAAAAGACTGGATGTTCAGTGTGTAATATGACACGAAGGATTGCTCAGAAATGGACACAGAGACCTGGTCTATAAAATTCTATATGCTCCCTGCTTAAGTCCTATACTTTTAATGTAAACCCTTATTCTATCTTGATGTGTAATCAGGTGTTTTGCAACAAGTCTCTTGCTCATGTTTTAATATTATGTTTTTAATACTTCTGCAACAAATGTATAACTACCATAGCTAAACAAAATCATAGATGGTTCATGTTTGATGTCCCTGCAAAGCTAATTTGGTGTACTGAATGATTGTTCACATTTTATGTTAATACGTGTGCAACATTTTAACATTTTAAGAAACTTTAAACATTTCTGCATCAGTTTAAACCCAGAATGTCTATGGTAATCACTACACTTCGGAACAAAGAACTAACAAATGTGCCCCAGAGGGGGTTAACTTCTTATTGGTCAAAAAAGACCATTAATAGCAACAGACTCACCGAACACATGTAATAAAGTTTCTCCTCTAAGTTGATCTCCACTACTGGTAAGAAGAGTCAGACTGTATGATCCAGAATCCTCCAGTTTTAGGTTCCTTAGCTCCAGAGAGAGAGTGCTTTTGTCAAAACTGACTCTGTCTCTATATGCTGAAGTTACAGAGGGTGAATCAGGATTTCCAGTCAATATAATTGTTGTTCCAAATTGCCAAATAATTACATTAATCGCAGTTGATGGTATCTTATTAGGGATAAACATCACATGTCCTCCAACTCCTCCAGTAGTCAGTTCAGGAAGCTGAAGATCTTCATCTACATTTTTCTCTATGGAAAACAGAAACAGAACATAACTGCATTGAGAATTTCTAGTCACGTACACACAGTTTTACAGACATTTTTTTAGCACTTCTATTTTTCTATGGTTAAAATAAACTAGAAACACTGGATACAACACATTTTTGAAAACATCTCTGGAAAAGTCTAATATTGTCATGATCACCATCGAACCACCAGAGGTCGCTGGAAAACATTCACATTCATAAAACTACAAATCCGTCAATTCATGGAATACAACTTCATACATGCACTTTGTTCACACACATGCTATAGATTCTGAATGATTACACTCGCACCACCTGAGTCTTCTGTAACCATGGGATGACACCGACGACAGAGGTGAGGATCCACATGCAGGTTTATTCGGATAGTCAGGAAAGCAGTGGTCAATACAGGGGAAAACAGATGTATGAGGGCAATCCAGAGTCGAAGTCAAATTAACAGGCAGATGGTTAGAGGCAGGCAGCAAATCAAAAACACGCCAAAGGCAGACAAAAAAAAATGTGTTGTAGTGTCACTGTAGCAGATAACAAGACTCAGCACCTCTGTTTGCTGCCTGCCTTTGACCATCTGCATGTTAATTTGATTTCTCATTGAAAACATTTGTTTATTTTATGTTAAAGCTTGTTTTGTGTGTTTTAATGCTAGTTTCAAGACAATATTCATAGATTAGTGAAAATAAAAATATAAATAACTAATTTGACCAAAACTCTCACTGTCTTTTACCTTTACACAGCATCACACTTTTAATGGAAAATTGTAAACTATAATTTATTTATTTCCCACATTCACAGCCTAAGATGGTCAATCATAGCAATTTGTGGCAAAACACGCACCAAACACCTGTAGTGAAGTTTCTCCTCTAAGTTGATTTGCACCACTATCAAGAGCAATCAGACTGTATGATCCAGAGTCCTCCAGTTTCAGGTTCCGGAGCTCCAAAGAGAGAGTGTTTTTGTCAAAACTGATTCTGTTTCTGTATGTTGAGACTATTAACGGTGAATCAGGTGGTCCTGTCAGTATACCAGTTGTTCCAAATTTCCATTGAACTACTTTAATTGCTGTTGATGGTGGGTTATTAGGGATGAACTTCACGCTTCCTCCTACTACTTCATTAGTCAGCTCAGGAATCTGAAGATCTCGATCTACATTTTGTCCTATGTAAAAATGAAAGAAGAATGAATCAATTGCAGTAAAGAACACTTTCATTTTTCACTTACTCTACAACTCAATGCATTTAGGCATGTAAACATGGTTAAGACAAACTGCTACAGTTCAAACCGAGTATTAAAATGGCGAAGAAAGGTGATTTAAGTGACTTTGAATGTGGCATGGCAAATTGAGGCTGTAATTCGCACAGGTTCACCAAAATTGGAAAAACGTTGTCTGGTCTGATAAGTCTCGATTTTTGCTGTGACATTTAGATGGTAGGGTCAGAATTTGGTATCAACAGCATGAAAGCATGGATCCATCCTGCCTTGAATCAACGATTCAAGCTGCTGCTGGTGGTGTAATGGTGTGGAGCATATTTTCTTGTAGTAGAAAATGAGTACTAATTGAAGATTATATGTGTCAATGCGACAGCCTACCTACAGTAAGTGTTGTTGCTGACCATGTCCATTCTTTTATGACCACAGTGTACCCCTCTTCTGATGGCTACTTTCAGCAAGATAATGCACCATGTCAAAGCGTAAATCATCTCAGACTGGTTTCTTAAACATGACAATGAGTTCACTGTACTCAAATGACCTCCACAGTCACCAGACCTCAATCTAAAAGAGCGTCTTTGGGATGTGGTGGAATAGGAGATTCACATCATGGATGTGCAGCCAACAAATCTGCAGCAACTGTGTGATGCTATCATGTCAATATAGACCAAAACCTCGGAGGAACATTTCCAGTACCTTGTTGAATTTACGGCACAAAGGATTAAGACAGTTCTGAAGGCAAAAGGGAGTACAACCCAGTAAGGTGTACCTAATAAAGTGATCTGTGAGTGTATATAAATTAAAAATATTAAAAATGCTTTTATTCCAGCCAAACTTGTCTTCCCCATAAAAAACTATATAAAAGAAAATAGAATACTGTTCAAATTTCTTAGCTCCTTTACACAGCACTTGGGATATATAAAAGAAGTTAAAATAAATCACAGCAGGCTTAATGATTTTGTCATCAAATTACAAAAACAAAACACTTTGAAACTATATATTTTTAAACAATGTCACAATTCATTGTCAAAATGAACACTTTTTGGGTTGTTTGACCTACCTTGAACTTGTACAGGATGTGGTAAAGAGATGGTGTTAACAGATGACTCATCCTCTGCTAATGATTGCTCTGGAACAATAAGCCTATTATTTATTTTTTCTGTGTGAAATAGATAAAGAACAAAATAAACGTTTCAGGGTGATTCTACAGAAACATTCTCTATTGTTATGGAAAAATATCTAAAAATCTATTACTTGTTCTAATATTTAAACTTTGACCACATTAATAAATAACTATTTGACTTATGAAAACACATAAACGCATTTTTGTACATTTATTTAAAGGTCACATACCATTTTTGTCCCTGCCTGGTTTTTTGGCAATATTTTTTGAAATATTATTTCTTGATTTTATTTTCAGAACATGTAGTCAGAGTTACAAGAAAATAATGATAATGCAACAAATAAGAAGATTATGTTATAATGAAGTCTGTTAAAAGTGTTAATTAATTATGTTCATTTTCACATCCATATATTTGCTAAAATAATGAAAATATTTGACTGAAAATATTTATAAACAATTATTAATAGAATCTTTTAAATGTCAAATCTTGAGTGAAGATTTGAAGATCATAAATTATGAAGATCATACTGTGATTTTGACACATGGACAGGGAAAATACACATTAACACCAAGAAACGATGCAATAAATCCCCAGTAAGAAACAAAATGATCATCACTGGTGTTTATGAAAGGTATACCAGTAGTAAACCTCAATAACTTGCTAATCTAAATGTGAGAACTTGTAATAATAATATTTGTATAGTATTTACACACAGCTCTGATATGAATATCTGAATCTCTCGATTTGCAAACACAGAGAATAATCAAAACACCTGTGTTTTAGTTTTAAACTACAGTTATGCATTCATTCATTTTCTTTTTAGCTTAGTTCCTTTCTTAACCTGGTGTCGCCACAGCGGAATGAACCGCCAACTTATCATATGTTTTGGGAAACATCCATACACACTTATTCACACACATACACTACGGACAATTTAGCTTACCCAATACACCTGTACGGCATGTATTTGGACTTGTGGGGGGAAACCCACACAAACATGGCGAGAACATTACAACATACCAGGTAATTGAAACCACATGAAGGCAAAAAAAAAAAAAAAAACGTTATTATTTCTTATTTTTTTTTATAAAAATCATGAATTAAATACTATATACATGCTCAAACAAGTAACACAACACCACCCATCTAGTAATTACTTTTAACTATAAACAAACTCTGATGAATGAATTACTAAGTAAAAGGACTCAGAGGACACTAGTAGTTCATTTGTAACTAGTCAACCCAGGCTCATTCTGAAAAAAAAAAAAAAAAAACGTACCTCTATATATATTTCTGGAGAACGCCAAATATGTCCCATACGCTTTTTCTATAGCATAAATCCACCAAAGGCTGTTGTTGACTAAATGACTGACTGACCGATCTACTGACCCACCTTTTTCCTTCCCTAAACCCAACCAATAGTGTTTTCAATCTATTATTTTTAACCAAGCTATTTCCTGAATGTGTTTGTAAGCTAATTATTGATTAATTTGTTTGTATAGTAAAAATAATTTTTTGTATTTAGTATATTGAACAGCACTGCTAATATTGTATGCCTGTATTTGGTGTGCATCCACTTTTCGCATACATATTATCCCACTATTGTCATACAATGCTTGTCTCATGATTGCCAAAAATAATTCTTAGTAATCAAATTCAAATATACGTCAATAGATGTGAAGTAGACTGGTTTTGGGTCTGTTAGGTCTAGGTCTGTTAGGTTACTAATTAATAATGTAAACATTAGTGCGTATTTGTTGAAAGTAGCAGTTAAAATGGTAATGTTGAACAAGATATTAGTCCTAGAGAACTTATTTAGTTACACATTCATTCATTCATTTTCATGTCGGCTTAGTCCCTTTATTAATCCAGGGTCGCCACAGCGGAACAAACCGCCAACTTATCCAGCAAGTTTTTTTACGCAGCGGATGCCCTTCCAGCTGCAACCTATCTCTGGGAAACCTACACACACACTCATACACTACAGACAATTTAGCCTACCCAATTCACCTGTACCACATGTCTTTGGAATGTGGGGAAAACCGGAGCACCCGGAGGAAACCCACACGAAGGCAGGGAGAACATGCAAACTCCACACAGAAACGGCATCTGAGCCAAGGTTCGAACCAACTACCCAGCGACCTTCTTGCTGTGAGGCAACAGCACTACCTACTGCGCCACTGCCTCGCCTTGTTTAGTTACGCATTAAATATATATATTTTTTCTGATTAGCTCTTTAGAAGAATGAATAAAAGTAATTATTGTATAGTTCAGTGTTTCCCAACCAAGTTCCTGGAGGACCACCAACATGCAGTCATGTTTTGGATGTCTCCTTTGTCTGTCACACCCATTACAGCTCTTTCAGTCTCTGCTAATGAGCTTGTTTGCTCAAGGAGACATGGAAAATGTGCAGAGCTGTTGGTCCTCCAGAAACATGGTTGAGAAACACTGGACTAGTTAGTATTGAACTACCAGTTTCCATCTGTGTGTTATTACTTATAAATTAGAGTTTCTTATTATAGTTGATATTGCGCTGCTCGCTTGTTGCAGTGTTGTTATTAATTAATGATTGATCGGCATTCCAAAATTTCACGCAAAACTCCAATGGCACACATGAGTGCCTGAAAGCTAAATAAACATCAATGTACGTCTGCTTCATGAAAAACAACCAGGCATCTCACCATCAATAACAATATATATTGGGAACATCTAAGTTATTATTATAACAACAACAACTTCACATCTGTACTGTACCTCCACTACTCAGTTATTTTATTATCATTTATATGTAATTGTTTCACACATTAATAATTACAGGTTTATAAGAGGTTTAAGGTGTATATATAGCCTAATATGATCAATAAATCATTCATTGCAACACACTCACCAAACACCTGTAGTGCAGTTTCTCCTCTAACTTGATCTCCACTACTAGGGACCACAGTCAGACTGTATGATCCAGAATCCTCTAGTTTTAGGTTCCGCAGCTCCAGAGCGAGAGTGTTTTTGTCAAAACTGACTCTGTCTCTATATGCTGAGGCAACAAATGGTGAATCAGGATTTCCAGTCAATATAATAGTTGTTCCAAATTGCCAGTTGATTATATCAATCGCAGTTGATGGTGGATTATTAGGGGTGAACTTTACGCTTCCTCCTACTGCTCCATTAATCAGCTCAGGCCACTGATGATCTTTACCTACATTTTGTCATTTGAAAAATGAAAGAAAAGGGAAAAATTAACTGCACGTGGAAACATACTTCTTCACTACAATTCAAATTGTATCTGTACTCTAGATCAACTGTATATCATTTTTTTCAGTTGTAACTTTAACAAAGTTTTTTTTCAGTGCTTACAAAAAACTGTTTATTTCGAACACTCTAGATGTTTAAAGGCCAAAACAGAAAATACTATTGTAGAGAAGACTAATACTTTGAGTTGGCTTGACCTGCATTATTTACCTTGAACTAGTAACATATGTTTTTGTGATTCTCTTCTGTTTATGATTCTATTAAAAGCAGATTAAATGACTTTCAAAAAATGGTCAAAGACTGGTTTCTTAAACATGACAATGAGTTCACTGTACTCAAATGGCCTCCACAGTCACCAGATCTCAATCTAATAGAGCACCTTTGGGATGTGGTGGAATAGGAGATTCACATCATAGATGTGCAGCTGACAAATCTGCAGCAACTGTGTGATGCTATCATGTCAATATGGACCAAAATCTCGGAGGACTATTTCCTGTACCTTGTTAAATCTATGGCACAAAGGATTAAGGCAGTTCTGAAGGCAAAAGGGAGTACAACCCGGTAAGGTGTACCTAATAAAGTGGTCGGTTTTTTCTATTAAAAATAGAAAAAAATGCTTTTATTCCAGCCAAACTTGTCTTCCCCATAAGAAATAATATAAAATAGAATAGAATACTGTTTAAATTTCTTAGCTCCTTTACACAGCACTTGGGATATATTAAAAAAGGTCAAATAAATCACAGCGGGCCTAATGATTTTGTCATTAAATTACACAAACAAAGCCCTTTGATATTTTGCATTTAATATTAACTTCATATTTTGAAACAATGTCACAATTCATTGCCAAAATTAACACTCTTTGGGTTGTTTGACCTACCTTGAACTTGTACAGCATGTGGTAAAGAGATGGTGTTAACAGATGACTCATCCTCTGTTAATGATTGCTCTGGAACAATAAGCCTATTATGTATATTTTCTGTGTAAAATAGATAAAGAACAAAATAAACGTTTCAGGGTGATTCTACAGAAACATTCTTCATTGTTATGGGAAAATATCTAAAAATCTATTACTTGTTCTAATATTTAAACTTTGACCACATTAATAAATAACTATTTGACTTATGAAAACACATAAACACATTTTTGTACATTTATTTAAAGGTCACATACCATTTTTGTCACAGCCTGGTTTTACCTATTTTTTGGCAATATATTTATGAAATATTATTTCTTGATTTTATTTTCAAAACATGTAGTCAGAGTTACAAGAAAATAATGATAATGCAACAAATAATAAAATTATGTTTTAAATAATTTTGTTAAAAGTGTTGATTAATTATGTTCATTTTCACATCCATATATTTGCTAAAATAATGAACATATCTGACTAAAAATATTTATTTACAATTAATATAAGAATCTTTTAAATGTCAAATCTTGAGTGAAGATTTGAAGATCATAAATTATGAAGATAATGTGATTTTGACACATGGACAGGCAAAATACACATTAACACCAAGAAACGATGCAATAAATCACCAGATCATCACTGGTGTTTATAAAGGTAAACCAGTAGTAAACCTCAATAACTTGCTAATCTAAATGTGAGAACTTGTAATAATAATATTTGTATAGAATTTATACACAGCTCTGATGTGAATATCTGAATCTCTCGATTTGCACACACAGAGAATAACCAAAACTCCACACAGAAATGCCATCTGACCCAGCCAAGGCTCGAACCAGCAACCTACTTGCTGTGAGGCGAACGTGCTACCCACTGCACCACCGAGCAGCCCAAGTTACAGTTATGTATTTGCAAAATGTCAGACACAAATGTGTGCTATTATTAATGAAAAGTGATTTGCAGCATATAAAAAACAATATTTGTTCCTGGGGTGGGGTGTAGGTTTCGGGGGAATCATAGGTACCCACCAATGTCAAGAGCAAATCTAAGCCCTTGAGTGTAACAACATACATAAGATCCAAATGCGGCTTTATGAGTTGTCAGACAGGCAAGGGTTGAAACAGGAGCAAACAGCCATATAAGAATAAATCAAAGCAATAGAGAAACAGGCGAAAGGGTCGAGATGGGCGGCAAACTATCAACAAACGGTAAACAAACAAAGGGTCAAAACAAGGCAAGGCAAAACAAGGCACTTGATATTGTTCACAACAGTAAAACAAGACTCAGCACTGTATGTGTGTGTGAATGGTGTATAGAGCCCATGCAGGGGTGTAGCCAACAATTTTGGGCCCTTCAAGTTGTAGTGAAGTTAAACCCTTTCAATTTGCAGTGAAGAGGGAGGGGATGGGTTGGGTGCCACAACTGTCGAAATTGAAGAGTGAGAAGGGGAGGAGCAATATTTTATTGACATCAATCGTAGAAAATGAAGACTCTGGAGGAATGGGAGGGGTTGTTTGGTGGGAGGTTGGCAATCATCGGAAGTGCAGTCCAGTGGGGCCGGGAATGGGAGATTAGGTGGAGGGGAAGTAGATGGGGGTCATTCTACTACCTGCTGAAGGGCCCCTAAGGTGCCAGGGCCCTATGCACTCTGTCTGTGATTGCATGGCATGATGGGATTTGTAGTTCAGGTGAATAACAGGGAGTCAACACCATTAACAATCCTAATTATTATCATTATGATTATCATTATTAGTGTTGTTATCATACATATATAATCACTATCGTCTTCGTTGTTTTCTCATTAGTTTTGTTTCTCTTTAGCAATCCACTGCACCTTTTACAACAAATTTGTTTTCCCCACACACATTTACACACACACACTGCCAAAACACCTGCAGTGTAGTTTCTCCTCTAAATGGATCTCTACTACTATTTAGAAAAGTCAGACTGTATGATTCAGAATCCTCCAGTTTCAGGTTCTAGAGCACAAGTGTTTTTTGCCCAAACTGACTCTATACGGTGAAACTATGGAGGGTGAATCAGGTAATGTAAAATCCTTATAATATAAAACTAGTTCCAAATTGACAAATAATTGCACTAATCTTTGTTTAATATTTGCACTAATCAAAATTTTTTTTTTCTAAATTAACCAACCAATTCATGTGAAGAACATGTTATTCTGACTACTACTACTACTACTACTACTACTACTACTACTACTACTATTGTTATACTGCAATGAATTGATCAAATTACTACATTATTTAGAAACATTATTTCATTATTAGGCACTTTTAATTAAAATTGAATTTTATAAAGGTCTCACCAATACATGAGAACATCCACAGAGTCCAGTATAATCCACGAAAAACCATCATGATCGTGATCGAGCTCTGATCTGCATGGAGCTGCAGCTCAAATCGTCTGATCTGTTTCAAGACAAACGGCTGATATAAAATGCAGACTATAAGCTCACTGCGCCACCTAGTGCTCATGAACATGTCTCACTTGGATCAGCAATATAATCTAACGTTTATCTTATGTTTACAGCATTAATGATGAAGCAATAATTTAATGCATGAATAAAAAGTTCCTTGTGTTCATTCAGTTTAGATTCTTAATCTTCATTCAGTGAGACTTGAATCAACATGTGAGCCTTGTGATCTATGCATACTGTTCATGCTTCTGCTGTACATCACATTACATTACACATGACATTATTCTCAAAAATCATAATTTTCTCACAGTTATATGATAATTACTTTAATCATAGCATTTATACTTTATTTGACTTAATTCTGAAATATGCTTATAGCTTTATATTTTATAGAGAATGATGTATGCAGTATTATTGACTTATTTACATAATTTACATCACAAATGTTGTAATGTGAATAGATCAATACAAAAGAGGACTTTTTTGTTACTTTTACTGTTTCCTGAGAAGTCACGATGAAGACATTTTCCTCTGCAAGTGTTCTGATAAATGCTTTTCAGTTGCATATCACCATTAATGATAAAAGAACAGTATGACCTTAAATAAATATTCAAAAGACTAAGCAAAAAGGATAACAAAGATGATTTATTTTTTATTATTATTATTTTTTTAGCAAAGAACACTATTAGTAATAGGACAGTAGATAATGACAGAACAAAATGCTCCTTCCTCCTTTATTATCTGATGTTGTGTTCAGGTCTAAAGGTGATTCAATGATTTACTGGCTGAGTGCAAGAAAGAAACAATGAGGATATGTCTGATGACTGCTGAGAAACTGTTTGATAGAATCAGCAGTAACTAAAAACTTGCTATCGTAAATTACTAATTAATAGAGTGATTTAAAAACTATAACTTTATAATTAAAAACTAGACAAAATATTGACTAAATGTGACTGTAAAAATTTTGCTAAGAAATATTTTCTAAAGAAATGTACATTTTCTGAGTTTAAACTACGAACGTTTAAGTTTTCAGTTTGAATTATGTAGTTTAATGTTCAGCGTAAACCACAAGTTATAAACAAAAGGTATTATGATAATATGACACACACAAGTTGTCACCTTGGAATGATCAGGTTCTTGAGCAGTTTTAAGATACTGAGCAAACCCATAAAAATATTAGGCAAATGAACTATGTGCGTGATTTATAAAAATGAAGTTAAGTCAATTTAACAGGTGCAGGTTACAGTGTTTTTTTGTTTGTTTGTTTTGTTTTTTTTTTATAAATTCAACTTGTCATTTTTATGGCAATGGTCTAATCACTTTTTTGAAAAGCTAAATAATTAATCATTTTTTACAGAGCAGTACAATGCACACAGAAGCTAATCTAATTCTAAAATAAAATCATGTATAACAATGTGTTGTCATGTATGAGAAGAATAAAAGAAAAAAAACTGAAAAAAGAAAAAATGCAATACTTCTCTCTAGAGATCAGTGTTTTTGAATAACTAAATAAAATATTTTTTTGATAACATGCTGATGTTCATTTTTGTAATTTAGACCCCATCAGTAAAATTGTTGGTTGACTATTTGACTTAACGTACTAAAATTTTATGCATTTAAGAATTTAAAATGAAAAAAAAAAAAACTGACAATATTTCAGCAAAGCATTTAACATACTGTGTATAGAATTTTAAATAATTCACATTTAAAGTCTTTAGATTTCAAATATGCAACTTCTCAGAAAGATGTATAATGACATAATATTCATAATACATACATAATATTCTACTAGATATTTTTCAATATATTAGTTTGCAGCTTGAAGAGCAGTTTAATACCTTAACTTGATTAATTAGTTTAGGCAAGTTAGGGCAGTTAGACAAGTCATTATACAAAATAATTTGTTCTGTAGCCAACTGGAAAAGAATGATTAACAGGACTAATAATAATATTGACCTTAAATGTATATTTTTAAAAACTGCTTTTATTCATTCATTTATTTTCATTTGATTTAGTGCCTTTAATCATCAGGGGTTGTCACAGTGGAATGAACTGCCAACAAGCATAAGTTTTACACAGCGGATGCCCTTCCAGCTGCAACCCAGTACTGGGAAAACCCATACATTCTCTCATTTACACACATTCATTATGGCTAATTCAGTTTATTCAATTTACCTACAGCGCATGTCTTTGGACTGTGTGGAAAACAGTAGCACCCAGAGGAAACCCACACAGAAATTCCAACTGACCAAGCCAGGACTCAAACCAGCAACCTTCTTGCTGCAAGGCAACAGTGCTAACCACTGAGCTACCATGTCGCCCCAAAACTGCTTTTTTTTTTTTTAGCCAAAATAAATCTAATAAGAATTTCTCTATAAAAAATATTATCAGAAATACTGTGAAAATGTGCTTGCTACTTTAAATATCCCATGAGAAATATTTGAAAAATGAATAAGTATTTCACAGGTGGGCTAATAAATTTGCCCTCATATATTTAATTTCCTAAAAATGTAAATTATCACATTGACAAACTCATTTTGATCAAAGGTGAGTTACAATAATGAGCTCTGCATTTGCATTCACTTTCTTACAATATGTGAAAATGCGTTTGTTTTATTATTTCAACACAAAACTATGATACATTTTTCTTTAAAGTATGCACATGCAAACACACACACACACACACACACACACACACACACACACACACACACACACACACACACACACACACACACACACACACACACACACACACACAATCACAGAGTTCATCCATCCTGTTCTTCAGCAGTAGTATTTCAATCTTTCATGGTGTTCACTTTTTCACCTGCACACAGAAAGAGGATTTGGAAACTAAATGGAGACATTGTAGATGTACTGTCTGTTATGAACTTAACAATATTTTTTACTGCAAGACGCCGATTATTAAAATTTTGTGAGCACCCATATAGCATGATGTTCTACAATGGGTTGGAGTAGAATTTAATATCATGAAATCCAGTGAACTTGCTCACCTTAAGTTCAGGAGTTCTTTGGAGGTCCATGTTTTACATTTACATACTCATTTTCTTTGAAGCTTGTATTCTTTCCCTGAGCCATTCGCCCTCCATTAGTTCTCTGGACATTAGTCAGTTCTTCATAGTATGGTTCCTACAAACAGTTATGAGATTTTCTTAAATTACAACCACAATGTCAGGCACAATGATGTAACATACTGTAATCCAATGTTTTTGATATTTAAAACATAAAACTGGAGACGTGCTGTATTACACTGTAGCAATTCCTTTCATAGTTTTGTTTTTATCAGAACAGGTCAGCTTCTGACTTCATGACATCATTGACATGCCTTTGTACAATAATATGTAAAAGATTAAAGTCCATTGGAGCCGACTGTAAAATACACCCATTTCTTCATTGTAAAATGTATAAACTCTTTAATTACCTCTAAGATAATTGAGTGAATGACTGTACAGCAGGGATGACCAACCCTGCTCCTGGAGATCTACCGTCCTGCAGATTCGAGTTGCAACAAATATCAAACACACCTGCCTGTAATTATCCAGAGCTGTTCAGGTCCTGATTAATTGGATCAGGTGTGTTTGATCATGGTTGGAGCTGAACTCAGCAGAAAGGATGATCTCCAGGAGCAGGGCTGGTCACCCCTGCTGTACAGTATGGCTGCGTCCAAAACCGCATACTTCCATACTATACAGTACGCTAAAATCAGTATGCGAGCTGAGTACTATGTCCGAATTCTTAGAATTCGAAAATCAGTATGCAAGAAGTACCCGAATGACTTACTACTTCCGGTGAGATTCTGAAGTGTGCATCCCATGCACGCTGCACTATCCCATAATGCCCTGTGAGAGAATTCATGAATGGGAGTGAAGCGATGCAACTGACGCAGGTAGGTCACGTGACCATGACAAAATGGTGGATGTAGTACGTCGGAATTCCATTCATACTTTTAGCATTCATACTGTATAGAACGTACTTTTCTAACGGCCGAGCAGTACATTTAAATTCAAATGTAATACCTACTGAGTAGTAGGCGGTTTCGAACGCAGCATATGTGTCATTTACTTTTTGCACCAGTGAAGGATCTCATTTGAAAGTGCTGTTCCTGTTAGTGTTTATAGTTTGTCAGTCAAACAACAGGATTGAATGGGCTCTATGCACAGCTAGAGTTTTAAAGTCACGATAAACTTCAGGTGAAAGCTTAATGTGACTATTTTCAATTTCACAAAGTTGTTTTAACAGCATCAATGGTGTAATGTAATTAAAATACATTCAGTTAATTCATTTAGTTGTTTAAAGAAATTACAAGATACAAGACAGTTGTAACCACTAGCGTCGTTATTAGCAATAGGCTAGCGCAGAAACTCCATTAAAAATACTGGGGTAAAATAAACTGTCATAATGTAAAGACATGGTGGGGGGAAATGGAATTTGATGCAGTGCTTCTTGTCCGATCTGAGACCCACTTCATATTGTATATCTAACAGGCAGTGAAGATCGCTAATTTTTAAAGAAATCAGATCTTAAACGTGACAATTTTGAAAGATAGTTCACAAGAAGCCCTTCGGCTGCCTGGCTGAAAATTAAAAGTATATGTGCATATACAGCCCATTTGGCCTTGGAAAAAATAATAATAATAAAGTCACTCACAGTCTCTTCTTTGCTTTTTTCTGGTTCTTAAAAAAAGAAACATTCAATGAGTTAGAGATTGAGAGAAATATGACTTTGTTTTTACCAAATTCCATCACTACATAATAACAAACCTACCTCCACTTGCCTGTGCTTTTTCTTTTCTGTTAAACTTTGGGCTGTAGTGTAAATGCAAAGATATGTAATTAAAATATTCTGCATATCTTTGTTTCACAAAAGCACAGTTTAAAACAATTTTCATGTTTGTTTTATAAATATCACCTGTTGTAAAGTAACAAATTACAAATACTCAAACTACTGTATTGACTGGTGTATCTCAGGAGTTGTACTTACTGTATTATTTGTAAAAAAAAAAATGTAAACTTGAAGAGTTTAGATGCAAAAACCTCTAAATACTGTCTGAAATTTTCTTCTTAAAATAACATTTTTATCAAGCTTCTTTGTGTATGTTTTGTCACAATCACCAGCAATATAATCCTTC